GCACTCAGGAAGGTTTCATGAAATACATGTATGCATCCAGCTTAATCTCTTTCAGTGGTGGTCAACAGTAGAAGACATATCGCTAGAGTAACATTTCATTCGCTCATTCTTCTCCAATGGCAGTTTTTGCGGGATATGAAACTGTTCCTCCTTTTAGTACCCAGTTACTCTACGCGTCAGTACTCTGACATTTGCGAAATTACATCCTTCAAGTAGGCTGATCATTTCAAGCTTATCTGTCATCAAAATGACCTATGTTCCAGGCGCAGCGCAACAGTTTCACGTACGGATTGCATTTCCTCGACGAACCGCTCGGCGAAGCTGACAAGTGACTCGACGCGGTTGCGCAGTTCCAGATCACAGAGGTGCTGCAAGATGCTACACAGCTGTAACTTGACCGATTCATCAGCGTCGATGTCCATCAGACCTTTCAGAAGTTGTTCCGAAAATCCCGACGACGTGGGTCTTCTGTATTCCTTGCCGACAGCCATCGAAAAGTCCTTCGGGTTCAGCAGCACCAGAATCTTCTGAATGTCGTCGTCTGAAAACAGACCGACCACTAACAACAGGTCGACCAGTTTCAGCAATGGCCTAAAAAAGTTGCACGTAAGAACTGATTTACTCGAGAGGCTTGATATTAATACGCAAAATGAGTAGAGTTGCTACCACCGACCAGATCCCTACTATTCCATATTGCCTGATAGGTCGCTTCTACCAGTGCGTCCATCGCGTAATTTTTAAGGCGCAGGAAGTCGAGGGCTGGCGATTTGAGTTGCTTTCGGTTGGCCGCAGCGGCTTCTCTAAAATATCGCATGGTCAATCACGGAACACACAGGGTCCAAGCAGAATTTGCTTACTCGTCATCTAAACCGGACGGATCCATCACCGGCCGAAGGCTAAACAGTGGGTTGAAGACGTACGGAAAATGACGCTTTTCATCACTGAAGACATTCAAGTGCTTCAAGCCTTGGGTCAGCGGAATGATATACTCATCGGCGGCCATGAGTCTAAAATGTACCGAATCAACAATCCCTCGACAACTTACGGGCACGCGTTACCCGAGCACTCTTACCTGGTATCAGAGTGAATTTTCAGGTGCATGGATATCAACAGGTCATAGTAGCTAGATCGTAGACTTCCCATCATAACTGAAAGTGCTTGGTGTGATAATAAAAAAACGGTATCGAACAGAAAAGAGTCCGTACATTTATTCTCGATCGCATAGAACAGCTGTGGCTGGTCGACGTGCTTGCTCAAAATATGAGCGTTTCTGAAGTTACCCTGTGCGCACAATGAGCAGTAGAGCTGCAATGTCCGCTGATGAAAATTAAGCAAGTCCTTGTACTCGATTAGTTCCAGAATATCGAGGCTGCTGTCATTTTCAGGTATGTAAATCATCATCATTTTAACTACAGATTGACAAGACTGAGTTTTTATGGTTCCTGCAGTTAAATGGACAATTTACTCACCAATCTCATCACAGAGGACGCTCCAGCCGCGAATGTCTGACAGTTTTAAGGCCGTAACACGAACGCACCGTTCGGGAACTCGGGCCCAGTTTCTTGGCTTACACACCTGCAGCTTCAATCTCGGAGGACATGAAAGCGCTGTTGACTTGATTAAACTTTGCAGCTGAGCATAAAACACAGGTAGCGTACCCTGAAAAAGTGGATAAGGTAAAAATTTCAAAAAAAAACAGAGACCAAAAAATATCTATTTTGAAAAATGACATTTGACAATTTGCATTGCATGCCACATTTTTTATTATTAGCATTGTAACGATTTAAATACTATTTAATCAATTCATTCACCGCGGATCATTTTCATCCATGTTGAATCATCCGTTAAATTACATGATAACCATTGTGCACAGTTAATTTTTTACAAAATGCTAAATTGTTTACAGCTCGTTTCCATCAGCCATATTTTCAGAAAATACGAAGCTAATGCTACGAATTATATGTGGCTTCTCAGCTGCTCCCCACGTCAGTGTATTTCTCAAACCGACGGTCCAGCAATAACTTCGCCAAAACTCTTTTAGATGACAGTGTTGACTAGACTTAGACTAGACTAGACTAGACTAGACTTCTCTTTTGTTATGAACCTGAAATATATATTACTGTGATTTGCTGTCTTTTACTTTCTCTCAATGAATTCAAAGGAAACTTTAATTGCTGTTTCTATTTTTAGCCGTTCTTCCAACAGATACTAATCTGTAGCGCCAGTAAAACATTTCTATTTAGAATACTGTTTTACAGTAAGAAGCTATAGTAATAAACTAAATTATATAAACTATAACTAGCAAGAACGACAAAGATGCAATATACGCCTTTAGGTACAGACTTGTTTCCCTGCCTACACGAATTTAAAGTCAGAAAAAGACACTAATCGCGGACCTAAATTAAAAAAACTCAGCTTGTCAAGGTTCTGCTTTATTGGCAATTCAGGTCAAGGAAAGAGCTAGTAGAAAAGTAAAGGTTGTTGGCTTGCGCTTCAGTCGATAAAAATGTCTATATATAGTATATGGTGCAGAAGTAAATGCAGGCGGTTTCAAATGAGGGTAACACAGCAACACGTACATCAAGTGATCCAAATTCAAACTGCAGTATTTCCCGACTGGTCGGCGAAACGAACACCGCGGGGTACAGAAAGGTTTCTGGTTCAACCTGAGCAGAAAAGAACGAAGGCTTGCCATTGACAACGAACGACAGCTCTCCGGTGGACACGTCGACGATGCATCCAACCTGAAGCCCGCTCAGCTTCGACCCCGTTCCTGATTCGCTGACGGATTTCAGCA